TAGTTTCCAAGGCTTTTCCCTTAGAGAATGGGAGGGAAAAGTGAGAAGCCCTGGGAACGAAATTGAGGATACCGACACGAACACTGTGATGATTTCAAGTCTGTTTTTTTTTTCTTCTTAATTATATGATAAATTTCAAAATTAGAAGGATACTCAACCAAAAATAAACAAGGATGGTTGATTGGTAAGGCTTGAAACAATCGGCAATCATTTTTTTTCTTCAAGTTCTTGTTCGTGACGAACTCATAAAAAGATGGGACAAAGAACTTGCCAATTTTTACAAAGAAATGTATGCCATGAGGGGCAACGCTTATCCCCTGGCGTACATTTCTTTCTCACTTTGGGATCCTATGGTTTTATGAGTTTGCAACGGATTCTTATGAAACATCGTAGATTTACTACATTCGGCTTGGTATAATTGATCTGTGGAGGCGATTCTTTTGTTTAGTTGATAATTACGGAAAATTGTTGATATATAAACATTATCCTCCATTTGGCGAGCAAATATTCTAGGATATTTGTCTGCAGACATTATCTGTTCAAAAGGCTATCCCGTGTTATTATCCTTCAAATATGTTTCGCAGTTTTGACATTGGGGAATATTACTCGGATATTCCCTAGTTTTAGTTTGAGTATATCCAGTCAGGGACGGGCGCGCTTTGACCAATCGTGCGAAGGCAAAAATATTCCATGGATTANATTCCCTAGTTTTAGTTTGAGTATATCCAGTCAGGGACGGGCGCGCTTTGACCAATCGTGCGAAGGCGGAAATATTCCATGGATTACAAATCAATAATAGCCACCATTTGGCGAGAAAATAAGCCTGGATATTTGTCCGCGGACCTTATGTGTTCCGAGAATCACCTTTCCGAGAGCGTAGTTTGAGGAAAACTGTAAGCTTGGAGGAACAGATAATGTCCAATTGCAAATATCCGAGCATGTTTTCGTGTCAAATGGAGGTTATTATGCTTATTATCCTTCAAATATTTCAGTTTTTCTCAACGCGTGCTGTTTTGAAAATCGGGGAATGATTATCTCTCGAAGTCCCGAGTTTTAGCCGTAGCATATTCAGTCACGTGACGCGTTTAGACCAATCGTGTGCGAGCGAAAATATTAAATGGATTATAATGCGTCAAATCGGTAGTAAGGTCCATTTGTTTTGAGCGCGTACTACATATTTAATTGAGAAATAAACTGAGTACATTGGCGATTATTGAACAATTGAATATTGGTGTACTGCGGATGTACACCAACATGGCGTTTTCATACCGGGCTCCGTAAATTTCTGAGAAACATTTCGACAAATACCTGAAGTTTGGGGAAACGCACAGGCCTAAAACTTGGAGAAGTGTCTCATCTAGTTTCATCTTCCATAGCATCACAATTTCTTAGTTTTTTTCACTGGATGGTTGTCGATTTGTTTTTTATCGTGTGACGGTCAAAACGATCTATATATTAAAAAGAAAATGGGACGACCAAAAGCGACAGCTCCACAAGTACGGCATGCAAATAAATCTACCTAAAGAGCACTGAGGTACCTCGCACGAAGAACTCTTGTGCTTTTTCATGGAAGCCCGTGTCTATCAAGGACGCAGATATAATAAGTAGCGTACAGCTGTTCAGGGAAAAGTTCTAAGCGGGGCGTTTCCCAAACGAAAAATTTGAGGTCGACATAAGTCAATTAGGTATTTTGCGTAGTCTGTTTCACGTTTTTTATTGGTGCTATTATGCTTGAGGTACTGATCTTTAATTAAAAAACTTATGTCCATCTATAGACTTTTCATGGAGTCCACGCCACTCTTAACCTTTTGCGGTGGAATCAGTTTCGGTCCCGGGATTATTTGCGGTCCAATTTGGGGATCATTTGCGGGACGGGATTATTTGCGGACCAGTACAGTACGATGACCGTTTCTCGTAAATTTCTGTGAAAGTACAGCAAATACGAAAAAAGCTTCGCTCATTCGTGAGATATTGTTCTTGCCACGAGAACATAAAATTCATATCCTCGAACTAACGTGCAATGTTCTTTTTATTGTATAGTCATACTGTGACGGCGTTTTTGACGCTTTTCCGACGATGTCCGAGGATTCTTTAAATCTTGTCCGAGGGTCACAGGAATATTCCGAATGTTTTCCGAAAATTTCCGAAGATTACCAAAGACTTTCGAGGAAGACTCGAAGATGTTTCGATCGTACACCAACAAATTTAAGTACAATTTAACTTGATAGTGAAATTATCGATATCTTCACTAATGAAGATATGGAAAATACGCCACCCGAGTCTCCGATAGGGTTTCGCATGAAGTTTGATTTACGGGTGTTGTAGTTTCCAGTAAAACACTCGTGACTATATAATAAAAGATCTGTACG